CATCCTAGGTATACCTCAACTATGAGAGACAAAATGAGAAAAACAAAATCCAGAAAATCACATTGTCTGATTTTTAAAGAATTTATTTGCAAATTATGGTGGAAAATAAGTATTTGGTCAATAAAAAAGTCATCTCAATACTTGTTATATATCCTTTGTTGGCAATGACAGAGGTCTTACACAAGGTTTTCACACACTGTTGCTGGTATTTTGGCCCTATTCCTCCATGCAGATCTCCTCTANCTGTATTAATGGCACCTGTTTGAACTCGTTATCAGTATAAAAGACACCTGTCCACAACTTCAAACAGTCACACTCCAAACTCCACTATGGCCAAGACCAAAGAGCTGTCAAAGGACACCAGAAACAAAATTGTAGACCTGCACCAGGCTGGGAAGACTGAATCTGCAATAGGTAAGCAGCTTGGTGTGAAGAAATCAACTGTGGGAGCAATTATTAGAAAATGGAAGACATACAAGACCACTGATAATAAGACTTACAGAAAACGTTTGACCCCTATCATTGCCAACAAAGGGTATATAACAAAGTATTGAGATGAACTTTTTTTATTGACCAAATACTTATTTTCCACCATCATTTGCAAATAAATTCTTTAAAAATCAGACAATGTGATTTTTTGGATTTTTTTTCTTTCTCATTTTGTCTGTCATAGGTATACCTAGGATGAAAATTACCGGCCTTTCTCATCTTTTTAAGTGGGAGAACTTGCACAATTGGTGGCTGACTAAATACTTTTTTGCCCCACTGTAGCTCTGCTTGAAAGCTACAGCGGCCAAGAACACGTTTCCTATTATTGCATCAAGATAAACAGCCTTCAGAATTTTTGGGTGCTTTATTTAATCAAAATTTAGAATTTATAAATATCAACATAATTGATCAAAGTCAGAATAGGTATAAAGGGGTACACAATTGGGTAAATGTCTCTGTTTAATTGCATGAACTGTAAGGAACTTAGGTTAAAAATAAGCTTTTGACTCTTAGTATGTACAAATGCTGACAGCTGATTGGCTGAGAGCTGTCTGCGCAGTCACACTACAGCTGTTCTAAAACCACCATCTTCCACTGTGGAAAACTCTGCTGCCTAGCAACAATCAGGAGCACTTACAGGAGACGGATAGCAGCGACTGTATGCAGCACTCTACAATAATAAAGCGATACATGAGACATTCAGATGGGGGAAGAAATCACATTTACTGCCAAGGAGCCATTTTCTTGAAGTATTTTCTGTAAATTGGTTTAGATGTTTGTTTTACTTATAGTTCAGGAGAGGTTTTTTTGAAGACAGAAACACAATGAAGTAAAGTCATACCTTTGCACTTTAGGGTACTTCATGTCTGAGATTACATTGGTGGCTTCTGTTTGGCTCTGTTTCAGATCAGGGGGCCACGTGTTGTCTACCCAGTCCACTTGATCCACCTGAGTGAGCAAAACTGCACCTTTAACCATCAATCACATCGTACAATCTTGAAATACAAGCCCCGGATTTGTGTGACCTTTTATAATATTATACAGAGCGTGTTATATTACCACTGTGGGCCGCTTGATGAGGTTTTCCAGCTTAGTGTGGCTGAACTCTAAGCTGATGACGTTGAAGAGTTTTTCCCGCTCTTCCTCTGGTGTCTCATAATAACGCACAAACTGAGCCATGCTCATCTCAGAGCCTTTCTGAGTGCTCACATCCATCACATCCACGGAGCGCCGACTGCCTGCAACAACACCCAGGACACCCATAACCTTTGAGCACTTCCACTGTCAATAACATGAAATAGCATCTGTCTATATGTGTGTCCACAGTCTTGCATGGTTTATGAGATTTATACGGACAATGTATATCGTTGACGACACGTCACAGATCTCAGATATCATGAATAAGTGGCTCCTAATTCATGTAATTCCTCATCTTGCCCACTAGATGGCGCAACTAAGCCACCATCATGTTCATTTCTTTCAGGCTTCACTTTATATACAGTGGGGCAAAAAAGTATTTAGTCAGCCACCAATTGTGCAAGTTCTCCCACTTAAAAATATGAGAGAGGCCTGTAATTTTCATACTAGGTATACCTCCACTATGAGAGACAAAATGAGAAAAAAAAAAATCCAGAAAATCACATTGTCTGATTTTTAAAGAATTTATTTGCAAATTATGGTGGAAAATAAGTATTTGGTCAATAACAAAAGTTCATCTCAATACTTTGTTATATACCCTTTGTTGGCAATGACAGGGGTCAAACGTTTTCTGTAAGTTTTCACAAGGTTTTCACACACTGTTGCTGGTATTTTGGCCCATTCCTCCATGCAGATCTCCTCTAGAGCAGTGATGTTTTGGGGCTGTTGCTGGGCAACACGGACTTCCAACTCCCTCCAAAGGTTTTCTATGGGGTTGAGATCTGGAGACTGGCTAGGCCACTCCAGGAGTTGATTTCTTCACACCAAGCTGCTTACCTATTGCAGATTCAGTCTTCCCAGCCTGGTGCAGGTCTACAATTTTGTTTCTGGTGTCCTTTGACAGCTCTTTGGTCTTGGCCATAGTGGAGTTTGGAGTGTGACTGTTTGAGGTTGTGGACAGGTGTCTTTTATACTGATAACGAGTTCAAACAGGTGCCATTAATACAGTTAACAAGTGGAGGACAGAGGAGGCTCTTAAAGAAGAAGTTACAGGTCTGTGAGAGCCAGAAATCTTGTTTGTTTGTAGGTGACCAAATACTTATTTTACAGAGGAATTTACCAATTAATTCATTAAAAATCCTACAATGTGATTTCCTGGATTCTTTCCCCCCCATTTTGTCTCTCATAGTTGAAGTGTACCTAGGATGAAAATTACAGGCCTCTCATCTTTTTAAGTGGGAGAACTTGCACAATTGGTGGCTGACTAAATACTTTTTTTCCCCACTGTAGCTAAGCTGTGTATTAAGAAGAACATTGCAAATATGAAAAATGTCACATTATCTTATCTTTAAATAAAATAAGATAATTAATACATTAAATACCTCTGAATTCCCTTTATTCTTTAAAGTCGGATCTGCCAATTACATGTTTCCTTCTTTCTAAAAAAAACTATAGTAGACAGCATACAAAACATTTATATAACTTTTTATTTTATAGAAAATTAAAGTTTAAACTAAAGCTTTGACTATTAAAAACATTTCCTCTTACTTTCCTACTCCAAATATGCATACATTTTATTTTGTGAGTGTTTGTGTATATAGCATCCTACTTACCAACTAATCCTTTAATTTCACTGACTGTAAATTCTGGATCCGGCATTCTATGAAAAAGATATATGTATGTCAATCAGTTAATGAGCTAAGTCCTGCAATTGATTAAATACATAAATATACATCAAATAAAGAGTGGGTACCGTTCAAAACCACAAGCTCCTCAAAAGATACATCTTTAAAGTTTTATGTAAGCTGATATTCCAGATAAATGTCTTCTCACCTGATCCCAAGCCCATCTTTCTCTTTAAAAATGAGTGGGGTCCTGAGAGCATCCTTTTGCACATATTCATAAGAGAAGTCTGCATTGGAAAAAGGTATTTAAAGTAAAACACACATATTTTGGTTAAGACATGCATATTTCCTGCCATATTACAGCTAAATATAAAAAAAAAGAGTAACAATAGATTATAATAACAAATGCTTTGTGCTATATTACCTTTACCCTCCATGCAGAGCACAAATGAGGCGCTGTAACTGTCACTGACCAGCTTTTCCTCCACACTGAAACCTCTGATGTTTGCAATTTCTTCCACATCGGACAGATCCTCGTTTTCATCGTACATCCTCCGGCAGATGGAGCGCTGCCATTGGAAACAGAGTGAGGATTTACATGACACAACAAACACAGCAGACTCTTTCTGTGGTAACTCCCCCTGTCTCTATAATAAACCACCATACATCATGGTTGAACATTTATTTAATCTAGGGTCAGCTTTTATTTGACGGGTATTAGTACACACGGAATGTGTGCACTGTTGTTTAACAACTGAATAGTAATAAAGTAAATGTAAACATTGAGCTACTATTGAATTTGCGATCAAAACTTGAAAACTGTAGTAAGGGGTCATATTCCCTTTTTTATATTATTTCCCCCTTTTTTAATATTTATTAAAAACGCATTTTTTTTCTAAAATGTTACGTCAAGCACGATAACCGTTTAACGACACTTGTCCAGGGAAAAGACAGCAGTTGGTACGTTATTCCACAACATACATCTATAATGTTTACAATATTACACTGTTATAGATGCTGTATTATCTTGTACGCTGATCTATTACAAATATACAATAAGTTGTAAGGTCTAAAATGCGGGAGAACTATCTTTTCCTCCTCATTGCCTCTAACTTGTGACTTGATGCATCCCAGCGTTTACAAACGTTAGCTTAGCTCACTAATTAGCTTGCTGCCAATCTCACTCCCCAAGATAACGATGGTACACACCAGCCTGCGTCCGGATTCGGCACACGTTTCCACGGCCTGGGCCATATTCTCTTATCAGTGTGATCCAGTCACTCGGTTTCGGGAATGCATCTTCTTCATGCGTAGTGAAGTTAGAGAAACACTTAGCACGCTTTTTCAGGTTCAAAACAAGGGAACCATGTTTTTGTGTGTTACGTCACCGCCAGGAACCAAAACATTGTTGGACAACGTCACGGCGTGTTAGTAGTTCACAGCTTTACAGGCAGCTGGGGTGACAAACAAAGATGAAACACTATTTATCACATCAGATAAATCACTTGTTGTTTCTAGCTCAAATAAAAAAATATTTTAACCACTACTATTGGACAGTTTAATCGTCTACCATAGCTTTAAATAGATAACGTATCTAGTTTATAATCGAAAAAGCATATCTTTATCTATTTTCAGTCATTCTGTAATAATTCATATGCATGGTGTGTGTCACGTGGGCTGCAGAAGGAGTTATTTTAAATTGACAAAAACATAATATCTGACAATAACTACACATTGAACGTGGTAATTATTCGAGAATTAACTAAGGGCTGATTTTGGATAGCTTAGCAGAGGGAATGCAACCGGAAGTTCGCCTCAAACGCGCAGCCTTGTGGGTAATGTAAGGTGCAGGCGGCACAGCATGCTGAGCACGGAGGGAGGACTGCTGGTGAAAAAATAGCTTCCGCAGTTCCGTCAGCTGGCGAGGTTGAAGGTTTACTAAGTGTACGCTGTTGGCATGTTGAACGCTTGTTTTTGTCGTAACAAGGTTGGGTAACGAGCGAGGTAACTACGCCAGCACTGCAGCTCTTCCTTTGCTTACAAGAGGAGCGACATGAGTCTGGACGAGCATTCACTGCTTGCGCTGTCCTGGAGGAAGCTGTACCTCAGCCGAGCCAAGCTGAAGGCTTCCAGCCGGACATCAGCGCTGCTTTCTGGATTTGCTATGGTAACATATGTCTCCCAAACATCTTCCTACTTGTAGATTTAGCATGCATGTATCCTTATGCTGAGCACATTTGTTTGTCGTGGAAAGTAACTACATTTGCTCAAGTACTGTAATACAATTTGAGGTAAGCTACTTGTACTTGTGTTGAGTATTTACATCTGAATGCTACTAGTTTCTTCTCCACTACATTTCAGGGGGATTTTGTTTTGTTTTTCTGCACTTAATGTATTTGAAACCTTAAGTTACTAGTATGCATATTATGATTATTCCAAAAATATAATGCATAAATTAATTATGGATGAAGATAACACCCAAACCCTTGGTGAATAGACAAGCTTTACAGCAGTATATATATATAGTGAGAAATAAGCCCCACCTTTACCTGCTGCATCATTAAAGTGAGGCTGACTGCTTTCTGGTTTTGCCACGGTAACATACTGTATGTCTTAAAAACATACTCTTACTCTTTTGTAGTTAAATCACAGCTAAAGTCTGAACTCCTTTTGCTCAAAATAATCTATAATTTATTAATGCAGTGGTGTAAAGTAAAAACATGTACTCAAGCACTTTACCAAGTTACAATTGTGATGTACTAAACATGAGAATGTCCATCCGTATGCTACTTTTTACTTCTAATCCATGTTATTTCAGTGGGAAATTGTACACTTGTACTCCACTACATTCATTAGATACATTAATGTACTAGTTCCTTTGCAGATTTAGATTTTTAGTACAAAACAACAAATGAAGATTAAGATACAACTGTTAAGCTCCACCTTTTTATTGTGTTATCTGAAATGGACCATTATGTATGTACTTTAACTCTGATTCTTTAAATATATGTTGTATTGCTTATGCTTTTGTACTTTATAGCTACATATGTACAATTTTGAATAGCTAGAGGGTGACCATTCAGATGTTCTTTAAATAGTTGGTAAAGATGGTATTCTGATGATTGTTATGAGACACATGTTGTGTGAATGGACAATAGAGTTTCTATACTATCTCATGTGATGAAGTTGTTTTCCTGTTCTCTTACTATTCCTTCTCACTCACAAATCTGCTGTAATGCACTCGATGCTCTATAACATAATGTATATTATACTGTTGATTGTTTGTGACTGGGAATTTTAAATGCTTGATTTACACAGGAGGCATCTGAGCAATAACTTGGAGTCCTGTGTTTTTAACTTATCTCGTATAATAAAGCCGTTTCCTCTTCTATTCCTTCTTTCCAGGTGGCCATGGTAGAAGTGCAGCTGGACAACAGCTACCCTTACCCCCCTGCTCTCCTCATTGCCTTCAGTGCCTGCACCACTGTGCTTGTAGCTGTTCACCTGTTCGCTCTGATGGTCAGCACCTGCATTCTGCCCAATATAGAGGCTGTCAGCAATGTCCACAACCTCAACTCTGTGCACGAGTCGCCACACGTACGAATGCACCGACACATTGAACTGGCGTGGGCTTTCTCTACAGTAATAGGTACATTACTCTTCCTAGCCGAGGTGGTTTTACTTTGCTGGGTCAAATTTTTGCCTGTTAAGCCCAACAAGTCCAGCAATAGTACAGTTTCAGCTGGTGTGGCTGCTGCTATTACCTCCACATCTATCATGGTCCCCTTCGGTTTAATCTTCATTGTCTTTGCGGTGCATTTCTACCGCTCCTTGGTAAGCCATAAGACGGACAGACAGTTTCAGGAGCTGGAGGAGCTTTCTAATCTCACCAGGCTACAAAACGAGCTGGACAACAGAGGGGAGCGTTCCATCCTGCAGTCCCCAAGCTCACACTTCCCATAGTGAAGTATGGTGGATATGTGTCCATGGAACTCTAGTCTGCATGGGGTATCACTAAGACAGAAGCCACATGATTGACTTCTTTTTTTCTTTCGGGAATAAAGATATCTTACCTCTTTATTGTAAATTAACTTACTTAAAAATACTTTTAGGAAACACGTTGGGTCAACTGTGAACTCGCAAATCTGCCGTGACGCACGGGAAGTTATTTCAATTGTTTTATGTTATTCTGTTGATTGTTTGGACCATGTGATACAAGACACATTTTCTTTTGAACAGACAATCAACTTTTATTTTCAATCCTATATAAAAAAAGTTGTTTCCTTTTCTCTTTCTATTCCTCTCACTTGTAAAGACATATTGTATTGTGAACATTGAAAGTCTTAATTGGAGACTTAACACTGGAGGCATTTCAACCATAACTTGAAATCCTGTCTGCTGCCTGCTGAATTTATTAACCTGTTAATATTTGTTAATACACTTTGGTTGTGTTTTTTTAAACTACAAGGTAACTCTTTACTCTAAACTGTACATTTATTGTAATGTCCATCAACATTTTTTGTAATGCTTGCTGTTAGTGTTGACTGACTCAACAGCTCCTAAAACTACAGTATTATTAGTATAATATATTTGCTGACGTGACGTCAAAACACACTCTATTTTGACAAGTGGCAATCAGAATTTCTAAAATAAATTGAATGTACTATTTGAAAATATTGTATTTTGAATGTTATCTTTGCCGCTTACTTTCAAACACTTACGCAAGTTAAACACATCAAATTTAGAATGCCTTTCATATTAAAATGTACTTCATGACTTAATGTTATATACTGTAACATGTTAACCATCACCTATGCTGGATAACTAACCAAGTCAGCCCCGTCTAATGATGATTTGTCATAATTACCCTCTTGGCTTTTCACAATTTACATTTTTAGAGAGAGGAAAGAAAATTAGCAGTCCTGATGGAGTAATTGTTATTATTAGGGACACGTGTTTCTCTGTGCGTCATTTTGTAAAGTCTGAGCACTCCACTTGTCTCTTAAATCCTGAATTAGCATGTTGCTTTCATCATTGACTCGTCATTACCCATGAAGTGCTTTTCAATCATTCTGGTACTTATCCAAATTAAATTTAGCTTAGGTTTTCATCTCGACAATTTAGAAGAAGGGATTTATCTGAGTTAGCAGTCTGTATTGGAAGAGATAGTTCAGAAGTACAAATTCATGTAGTTTGATGTTGATAGGTGCCATCATTGTCAGAGTTCAGTGTATGCTAAATATTTGGTCAGTCCAATAGTCTTGGTATAAGACTTCAATTATATCCCTTGTGTTTTTGAAATATCAATAGATGTTTTGCTTGGCTCCACAGATAAGAACGGACAGAAGGTGTAAATAAAAACAAGCTGAAAATGCCATCATGCCATTTATTATCTGTTTTCTGTTAGTGTGTTGTGGAGTGGAAGCTTGCTGTTGATCGTCTCAAGGTAGGCTTCCTCGGATTCCTTTAAAACCAACTGCATATCCACCAGACGTACCTTAAAGAAAGAACATGTTCATACACAATAAAACGTTAAAAGAAAACTTGATTTGTTGACCATGATTGTTTAATCTTGTGACATAAGTGGAGAGAGAGTGTCTGCAATCGCTGCAAATCACAATGCAGATGTTTTACCTGTGGAATTTGACACTTTGATGGTGTTGGTGCTTCATTCCTCCCAAAATCAGACAGGGTCCCACATTTTGCTACTCCATCCAACCAAATGCCTTCATAGAGCTGGCCTTTGTCAGAGTAGTAAAACTTTCCATCGCCGTTCTTCTTGCCTTCTCCCCAGGTGCCTTCATACCAGTTTCCATTTGCTTGGAAACAAGTCCGAAAGTACCATTTAAAAATCCACCATCTTGACCAACTATAATGTAATCTATTTGAGATGTTAACAATGTATGTGAACCCAGTGTTCTTACCACATCGGATGATGCCCTGTCCATGGTTCTTATCCTTCATCCACTCTCCCTCATAGATATCCCTGCTCTCGTAGTACATCCTTCCCCATCCACTCCGTTGGTTCTCACTCCACTCCCCTTCATAAACTGCTAAGTTATTGTAGAGGTACATCCCATACCCCTGAAGAGATAGAAAAGAACACATAACATATCTCAGAGCGTGAATACATCTGAGATTGTGCATGAACACTATAGAATACGTACATGCTTCTTTCCATGTTTCCATTCACCACAGTACTTCTTTGCCAACTCCTTTGTTTCTGGGAGCAGTACACTGTAGGTACCATATCCATCGGGTTTTCCACATTTCCACTCTCCATGATAAATGGCACCAGACTTTTTCCAGACCTGAGTTCCCTTCCCTTTCAAACAAATAAGCAAATAAGTTATCTAGTGTGGTCAAAGTGTGTCATGCTCCATAAACTGTGGTTCATAAATGTCCTTGTAGTTTAGTAGAAGCTCACATCAGAGGAATCTCACCGTGCTTTTTGTTGTCTTGCCACTCTCCAGTGTATTCATTTCCGATGACAGAGAATATTGTGTGCCGCAGTCCACATTTCTGTGACTTAATATCCAGTAATGCTCTACTTTTTTTAGATGTTTGAAGATATGGCATGGCTGGGCGTAGCTTGATGAAAACCCTGTAACATAGTCAGATAACATGTTACAACCATGAAGCAGTAAACCTAGGAGTGACCTTTTAAAACTATAATAACAACACATTGCTCTTTATTTCATGCTGAATATACAATTTATAAACAGAACTGTGTGAATATTTGAGAAAAAAATTACCAAAATACAGAATTGTTTAAACAAAACACAATATTCACATGTTACTACATATAATTAAAGCATTTGTATTTATTTTATTGGATATACATGATTTCAGCAGTGCTGATACAAATAGATCATGCAAAAACATGAAAAAAGTAAGTACTGTATATTCTGTTCTCTACTGATGTTCATTAAAATAACAGTGATTAACCCATTAATGCATTACCAATTATAATCCAGTCATAAAATATACATGAATCAAAAATGGGCCATTCTGCATTAAGAGTCTTTTTACTTTGGGTAACTGTTACTTTTAGTTTGATCTTGAAACTCTTTTGAATGCAGGACTCTTAGCAGTAACATAGTATGTATACACTGTGTTGTAACTACTTAATCCTCAGTAAAGTATCTACATTTTTGTCCAACCACTGCATTTACAATACTTTTAATACAAAATATTTTCAAAAGAGCAGGTTAGCCACAAGCACATGTTATGCTAACATAATAACTAGCTAGTTAATGGTGTTAGTTAACGTTAGCTTCAATACAGTGTAATTGACAACGACCACGTTAGGATGATACTTATACCTTAGCGATGTGTCCAAGCGGATGATTTACTTAAACTCAATCCGCCTGTAAACTCAGGCCATGTAACTACCGAATTAATAAAAAAACATATTAGCTAACCCGGCTAGCCGCACTAACTTTCCTAGCTTGGGTCTGCAACAGCATTCACTGTATCCTAGCAACAGAATTGTGTACTCTAGTCTAGTTGATGCCGAGTCTGAATGTTAAAACCTATACAGTCTATGGTTAAAACATAAGAGATAAGCAGTGGAGGGAGAAGTAATCAGATGATTTAATAAATCAAATTTAACAATACTAAAATGTGAAAATACTCAGTCACAAGTACAAGTACTGCATTCAAATGTGTACTTAAGCACAAGTAAAAAAAGTATTGGCATCAAAATACTTTAAGTAGGCCTTCAAAAGTTATGCAGAATGGGCCATTTAAACACCAGATATTTTTGTTTTAAAATTATTGATACATCAATGCAGTCTTGCACTTGGTAAACAAAACAATATTTGGAAAACACTGCTTGGTAGCTTAGCCTATAATAATATATGATAATGTACGTGTCGATTTATATTTTTGTATTAACCTAAATCTATAAGGTAACTACATTTGTAAAATAAATGTAGTAGAGTAAAAAGTACAAATGTGCCAACAAAATTTAGTGGAGTTAAAGTATAAAGTAGTATTATTTGAAAATACTCAAGTAATGTCCCATAATGTGCCACAATGTTTTACTTAAGTAGATATACTTAGTTACATCACACCACTGAACATAATTATGTACTTTAGTTGGTGCTGTGTTAAAGTTAAACAGTGTGTGTCTGGAGGGAGTAACTGATGCCAAAGTCATGTTTATGTTAATTGTTCTTAAATTGTATGTTATTACTTAAACCTATGCAGTGGTGGAAAGTATCTAAGTACATTATACTAAAGTACTGTACTTGAGTAAAAAGTTGAGGTACTACTTACTTGAGATATTTAATTTTGTTATCTTCTATTCCACTTCAATTCAGAGGTAAATGATGTACTTTTACTCCACTACATTTATTTTTTGTACCTTTAGTTACTTTGCAGATTTGGATTAATGATGTGAAATATAATCAACACTAAACTCCGACTTTATGTACACCTGGAGTCAAATTCAGAAACTACCCTGCAGCATACAAAGTACATAAAATACGTTGCACCTTTACTAACACCTTAATGCATCAACATTTATAATTTAAAAAAACAAACATAATAGGCCTATATGATTAGAAATGAGTATAATGAGTAGGCTACTTTTCATTTTGGTCCTTTATAATTTGATGCCAATACTTTTGCACTTTTAACTAACATTTTGAATGCAGAAATTGTAATTGTAACAGAGTATTCTGATCTGAGTATTTCTTCCACCTCTGTGTATTATTAGTTTAATGCTCTACCATAGACAGTGTTCAACCTATGGTTTAACAACAGTGGTGCGCATGCGCCCTGCAGCCCGTTTAAAACGGCTCCTCCTGAGTGGGCAGACAGTCAGACCCTAGGTGAGAGCCAGCTAGTGGAGCCATCCTCCTTCATAATCAGCTGTTGTGCCACAATGTCCAAACCGAGGTTTCAGACGGAGTGGGAGGAAATGGACGAGGAATATCAACAACTACAGGTGACACTAAAACCAGTAAATCATTAATGGTAGCCTGCTGGTCGGATAGCATGTCGTGGATGGCACTGACAGCTACTACGTTAGTTTGGATGGCTCCTTCCTATTCGCCATTCATTCTCAGCTCACCCGTAAACGCAGCTTTTTCAGCCAATAACTTTGCTGTTGGAAGCAAAATTGTATTTAAGGGATGGACAAATGTCAGGATGTGTTAACATCTTTGAATTGTGAGTAACACCCGTGTTTTTCTGCAGCTAATGTTAGCAGCAGGTTACTTGTGTTGCTGCTAGGCGGCTAATGAGCAGCTACAGTAACTTAGCTAACAATTGAATTATTCTTGAATTAATTCTATTGAACTTACTAAGAAATGTGTTAAGGTAACTTCACGCTATGGCTTTGTTTGAGAACACCATTTTGCAGAAGTCATTGAATACATCATCATCCTTTACCATTACCACACTAGCTCACGTTGGCTAGCTAGCTAACTTGAAACAACAACATAAGTGGTCAATAATAGGAAGAGATACAGCTCCCCTTTTTAGGTTAAAATAAAGCATCATGATGGTGTTGTGGCACGATCACCCTTCTGCCTATGCTAGTACCAGACAAATAAGACCTGTGATGCCATCAAAATGTAAAATCTGCAGCTGCTCCATTGGGAAAGAGAATGAAGGTGACTGTGTCAACTGTTTGGGGATGTTCCAAAATACAGCCAACATGTATTAGTGCAAAGAAACAGCCTACAGTTGCTTTTCCTCAGATCGCATATTTGTACATCTGTGTATTAGCTCCTAACCATATTCTGTCTGCGGGCTTTAAGAGACTTAGTGAATTACACACTGTTGATTGCCCTCTGGACCTTCTAAATAATCACAATTCCTATGATCGGCCTTGTTGTCCATTAAGAGTTTTTTTTTTTTAGGATTGGCAAAGCTTTGTATATACCATTATTTGGTCATGTATTTTCATTGGAATATATAATTCCATGCATAGTTTTCCCATCAGTAGTGCTTGTATTGTGATACATTTGTGGCTGCAGATTGAAACATTTGCATTTTTCTCCCAATAACGAAGAATCACTCTACACTTTTGTCCTTACACATGTTCTCCACAATTTTGTTGTTTGTTTGATAACTAGGAAACTCACAAAGTGTACAGACAAAAACTTGAGGAGCTCACCAGCCTTCAGACAACATGCAGCAGCGCCATCAGTAAACAGAAAAAATGCCTGAAAGACCTAAGGTGGAGTTTGACGAAGTAAGTGTTCTCTGATCAAGACAGAAAACGTCATGATCCTTTAACAGCTTGGTTTCCTGAACGACACTCTTTATCAGTGAACTTGTTTATTATCAGTTTGTGATTCATCACATTCATCAGCCTCTTTTAGAAGATACACCTTTTTTTATACTTTCTTTGAATAAGTGGTCTTTTAGTTTTGATTTTAGTGCTTTTGTTGGGGACACTTTCTTTTAGTATATGTACATGCTATTAAAAAGTTATGATCTCTATGTGCCTTCGAGATCAAAGATATTTCTTCTTGCTCTTATTTCCTTTTCCATTAATGATCATTTTGGTTTTTTCTCCAAAGGTGTTCCAAAACATGTGACGAGCAAGAACTGAAACTAATAGCGGATATGAAAACACAAATAAAAGATAAAGAAAATGTGTTCTTTGATATGGAAGCGTATTTGCCGAAGAAAAACGGGTCAGTACTTTGTGCATGGCAACACTTCACATTACAGACGTGTTGTATTACTTATTGTTTTTCCATTTGTGTGTGTTTTTCAGACTGTACCTGAATCTGGTCCTGGGCAGTGTGAACGTAACGCTTCTCAGCAACCAGGCAAAGTAAGTCGAGTATTCAGTGTGAAAAATATGGTTTGTTTTTTGTGTATTTATCACCTTCTTTTTTACCTTCTTTTTAATTGATAGATTTGCCTATAAAGACGAGTATGAGAAGTTCAAGCTTTATATGACAATAATCCTGATGTTTGGAGCAATAAGCCTCTTCTTCCTCAACTACCGGTGAGAGAATGTTTCTGCATATTGTTTTCTTTAAATAATACAAATGTTAAAGGTGGTTTTATTATATTAATTTTCTCCATTTGTTTAGAGTCACTGATGAAATCTTCAACTTTTTGCTGGTGTGGTACTACTGCACATTGACTATACGGGAAAGCATCCTCATGAGCAATGGCTCCAGGTGTGTTGTGTGTCAACCCTGAGGCACTGCATTCTGACTTGGAATTGTAATAGTTAATTATTATAGGGAAAAGTATTTTTGAAATGGCTAGGTTGTTCAATGGTAAATGTCTTCTTCTGCTTTTCAGGATCTACGGTTGGTGGGTGTTTCACCATTATGTCTCCACCTTTCTGTCGGGTGTGATGCTCACATGGTGAGTTTTTGGCTTAGTTTGTTTCTTTCAGCCGTTATATTTGTACTTTTATTTTGTACAATCCCACACAGGTGAGCGACTTCTGAGACAACAAGCGCTCCAGTTTTGTTTTTGTTTACCCGTATGTTTTTTTTCCCCCAGGCCAGAGGGACCAGTGTATCAGATGTTCAGAAGCCAGTTCCTCGCTTTCTGCATTTATCAGAGTAAGAATTTCATTTGTTTACTCGACTTCGAAGCAGCTTCTCTTTAGGAAGTCTGTTTGGCCGGACCATTTCAGAATAATGTATTTTCCTTATATTGTTGTTACCCAAACATGAGGGAGTTCATCCTGGAAAAGCAGTATTCACTTTTTTGAGATTAAAAGTAGTTTGAAGGGGTAACAGAAATCCATCTTTTTGTTGCGACTATCTTGTAGCTAAATATCTATGTCACATGTTTTTCGCTGACTGTGGTCATGTGTAGCCACATGTGGGGATACTTGAGGCGCTCTGGCATGTGCTGTCTCTGTGTTACATCATCCGTGACAGACACCAGATTTGACGGATAAAGGACAATTGTTGTTACATATCTGGAACTCTGGTATGAATTGCATTTTACGACATTTTATTGTTGGGAATGTGTCATCATGACATTTCTAGATATCAGTGACTGTGACTAAATGTTGTGTAAATGTATTTAGAGGAAGTGTACACAACCTTCCTCATACTAAAAGCTGACACTGAAAGACTCCTTTCTAGTGGATACATGGGTCTTGATTTATGAAGATTTTCTTAATTAATTATCAGGATTTGTTGCATTAATTATTGTATACTCTGGACACTGATAGCCTGCATTGTTGCATCTGAAATACAACAGTTGCATTGTTAACATTTCTTCTCCCCAGATTAGAGAAGTAATTATTTCTCACACGCTGGTGGTTACAGTTGTTGCCAACATCAAATGTACATCATGATGTGAGGACTTCGTGACATTGCTCTTTGGTCGGGGGTTTGGGTGATAAAACAAATGAATAAAAAAAATAGATGTTCCTCTTTAAAAAAACAAGAAGCCACCTACAAATACAGCTATTTATTTTTGTTTTGAGGACATAAGGAACATATTTCACTTTTAGCTTCATGTTATAGGTTGCTGTCCATTTTTAGGACTTTTGCTGCAACAGCTTAAAAGTGGATTAACTGTTTTTCACGCAACAATGGCAGAAAATGCTGTTTCCAGATACTATTTTATTTGTTACATATTCTTCTTTCTGACACAGAAAGAAGAATATGTAACAAATAAAATAGTATCTGGAAACAGCAGTATTCAAACAACTATTTGCTTTGGTATATGTGGTGAAGGCAAAGACACTTTGCCTTCACCACATATACCAAAGCAAATTCCTGGTATGTGTAAATACCTGGAATAAAACCGATTCTGTAATCAAATAATCT